TTGATGTACTAGTGTCAAGTGGATTTGATCCCTTAGAATGTGAAAGAATAAACAATATTTAAAATGTAGGCAATTATTTTAAGTGTGACATTCCTAAGACCAGGCTGGCAAGCATAAAATATCTAGTTTTAGACATGTTTTCTCAATCTCTACACTAAAGACATTTTGGACTTCATCATTCTTTATGAGGGAAGGGGCTGTTTTGTGCATTATAGACTGTTTTGCAGCAACCTTGGCCTCTACCCACCAGATACCAGCAAAATAACCCTGGTGTTATCAACCAAAAATGTCTCCAGACATTGTCAAATGTCTTCTTGGCAGCCAAGAGGTGGAGGTGGGGGTATATGGGGTGAGGGGAGGGGTGACTGCCCTCAGTTGAAAACCACTACTTTAGATATTGGGAATATATAGGCAACAAAATTTAACTGAAAGCAAAAATCACCAAAATACCCTATGAATTAAATAAAAATGTTTTCTTTCAACTGATAAGAAGACAGTAAATTTGAACTTAAACCTGTTACAACTCAATACATACAATGTGAAGGGATAGATGAGTATCAGAAATTTAGAAACCACTTAACTGTACTCCATTGGAGTTACAGAACTGCAGAGTAGAAGAACTTTAAAGGTCACCTAGTGAAAGCTCATTTGACTAAACTGGGATTCTAAGCAGATAACTTACTTGCTGAAGGTCTTATCATCAGTAAATGGCATTTTTATGAGTAATACTACTAGTATCTCTTTAACAAGTGTCCAGATGAAACAACCGTGCAGCCCGTAGAGATCCTAGTATGGTGTGGTGTGTCACATATAAGAAGGGACACTTACTTAAATTAGTGTTCCTAAACTGGTACAGGAAGGAAGCATCACTGATGCCTAAAAAAGACAGACAGAAGTATTATAATAATAAAGAAACCTGTAATTCTGGCTGAAAATATAAGCAGGTTCAAAAATGGCCAATTTCAGTAATAAAGAGTTATAATAACTTGCATTTTGAGTTTGAAAGTCAATCTATCAACAAGACTGAATGCCCCTATTTATGAAATTTGATATTGTGAGACCATGTTTTGCTCTGAGACCCATTTTTAAGCTTACACTGAAAATGTGCTATAATTCATATAACCTTCAGACATGCTATTAATAGCAACCTTGACTTACTTCTCAGCCAAATGTCTGTGTGCATATATACAGTGCTCATAAAAATACTCCTGGTGGCTTATTTCAATTTCCTAAGCTCTGATGAGAGTGTGAGTAAATGAAAATAAGCTTTAAGAAAGTATTGCACTGAAAACCATCTTTGACACCAAATATCAACATCTAAGTGGTTTTTTTCCTCTACTAATTTTAGAATTCCACACGACAAAGAAAGAACTCCTAAATATCAGTATTTTAAAAATTAAAAAAACATAAAAACAGGATATCCTCTATTGTAGCTACGTAAAAAATACTAATAATGAACAAATGATATGATCCTGCATTACACAGAATATCAATGTTTACCAAATAATAAACTGTACGTACTTCAAAATAACTTTTTCATTCATTCATTAATCAAAAATTTAATTGTGAACCTACAATGTACTAGTGCTATGCTGGCAAATGGGAACAAAGCAGAGAAGAAGAGATAAGGTCCTTGCTCTGCGTGGATAATTATCCTGCTGTGGAATAAAAGTCAGGTCATATTTTAACTGTGTCACATAGAAGAATAAAAGTTACAGGAGATAGACGGCATTCAATCTTAGATTTATTTTATTATAAACAGTTGTATTTTACTTTAGATTAAGCTTGCATTCTAAAAAGGAGAAAGATTTTAAAGAGAAAGTTGTGAAACTCCATAAAGTAACTAGTAATGCAAAGCACTTGAGAAAAATGATGGTTATGGCCAGGCGCAGTGGCTCAACGGCTGTAATCCCAGCACTTTGGGAGGCAGAGGCAGGCAGATCATGAGGTCAGGAGTTCGAGAACAGCCTGACCAACATGGTGAAACCCTGTCTCTACTGAAAATACAAAAATTAGCTGGGCGTGGTGGTGCATGCCTATGATCCCAGCTACTCAGGTGGCTGAGGCAGGAGAATCGCTGGAACCTGGGAGGCAGAGGTTGCAGTGAGCTGAGATCAAGCTATTGCACTTCAGCATGGGCAACAGAGTGAGACTCTGTCTCAAAAAAAAAAAAAAAAAAAAAGATGGTTATATAAATGTTCGACTGCAATTCTGGTTAGGCCATTTTCATAATAATAATCTTTCAATTGACTAAATGCTTACTCTGTGCCAGGCACTGTTAAATATTTTATATTATTCTGCTTACTCCTTGTATAGTATCTTTTAACTCATATAAAACACAGTCATCCAACGAGGTAGGAATCATAATTCTGACAGAAAACTTACAGAACACTGACACGTAATGCCAGGTAACTTGACCAAGAATTCTTATAGAACACTGACACTCAATATCAAGTAACTTGCCCAAGGTTACAAGGATGGTAAGCAGGGAAGCTGGGTATCTGACTGCTCTGGTGGACACAAAGCTATGCTCCTCCTCCTACATGTACTTCCTCTCCCTCCCTTTCTTTCTGATATTAGCAGGGCAGAGTAAGGGAACAGGATTTTGCACAGAGAAACTAGCTCATGCAATAGTCCAGATGTAGTAAAAAGCATATTAAGGAAAGCTTTAAAAAACCAGGTGCATACTAAGGGATGGATAGAGTGGTATGAAATGAGACTGGAGGTAGGCAGGGGCTAGATCATGTAGGGTCTCATAAATCATGATGTGGATTTGGGATTTTAACTAACCTGAAGAGAAAAACCACTGAAAGATTTTAAGCAAGTGTGTCATGTAATCAGACATATATCTAAGAAAGATCATTCCAGTTGCCTATAGAAAATGGGTCAGATAGAGTACGAAGAGTCCAGGTAGAAGCCCATTTTAATAGTTTAGGCAAGAGATGACAGTAGCTTTGTGGAGAGAGTGAGAAGTGAGTAAATTGGAGAAATAATTCAGAAGCAGAACTGACTACATTTGGCCATGCATTAGAAGACAGAGCAAAGAACAGGAATGTCAGGATTGCTTCCGTGTTTCCTGTACTGCCATCTTTTAGATTCTGGAGGACAGAAAAGGAAAGAAATTAAACAGTAACTAGCAAATCAATTTTAATGTTCAGATTATTTTAGATTATTTTAGTATCTGTTTACCCAAAACTCACTGTATTCATCTCCTAGAACTGTCAGAATAAATTACTACAAACTGTGTGGCTTAAAACAACAGGAACCTGTTCTCCCACAGTTCTGGAAGCTATAAGTCTAAAATCAAGGTGTCAGCAGAGACACATTCCCTCTGAAGGCTCTGGCAGAATTTTTCCTTGCCTCTTCTTAACTTATGGTGACTCCTGGCAATCTTTCATTCTTTGGCTTGTAGCTGCATCACTCTCTCTGCCTCTGGCAGAATTTTTCCTTGCCTCTTCTTAACTTATGGTGACTCCTGGCAATCTTTCATTCTTTGGCTTGTAGCTGCATCACTCTCTCTGCCTCCGTCTTCACATTGTTTTCTTCTGTGTGCACCTATGTCCTTGTTCCTCTTCTAGTAAGGACAGCAGTCATGATTTCATCTGGAGATCCTTACTAACTACATCTGCAAATAGGGTCTATTTTCCAATAAGATCACATTCTGAAGTTCTTTCTAGGTGGTCACAAAATTTGGGGGAACATTATTCAACGCACTACATTCATCACTATTTTTGTTAACTTAATTTTTTCTTATTATTTATCATCATCATTTGTATCATCGTCATCATCACAACAATCATTAACAATAACCCTCAATTAGTACTTGCCTAGGTAAGAAAGAGGCACTCTAATCCCCAATAGGTATTTGTGTTGGGGGCCACAAGTGTTGGGGGATCCCAAGATCACACCGAAGTTCAGTGGGAGGAATTGCAGGACTCAGAATACAGCTGCACTCATGGCTATAGTTTATCACATAAAAGGATACACAGTGAAATCAGCAAAGGGAAGAGGTGTTTAGGGTGAAGTCCAGAAGAAACTAGGCACAAGCATCCAGATGGAGTCACAGAGGACATAATTCTTCCACCATCAAATTGCGACAACACATGTGAAGTGCTGTTTCTGCTCATTAGAGAGTCAGTACCCAAGTTTTTCAGGAGGGGGGGCTGATTATATAAGCACCCTCTACTTAGCACATACCAAAATTCCAGACTCCTGGAAGGAACGCTGATATTCGGCATAAACCGCAATGTACAAATGCTCCAGGCACACAATAGGCCACGCTTATCAGTTAAGGAATAGTGGGAATACTCCAGAAATCCAAATTCCCAGATGCTAGACAGGGGCCAACCTTCCAAGCAAGCCTTTCTAAGCAGAGCAGTCTCAGGTCTCCTATGTCAGCTCTTTGCTGAACTTATTGATACATTTAATCCTCACAGCAAAGAAATGAAAGTACAGTGTCAACATTTAGACAATGTGTCCAAGATCAGACTACTACAATGCTAGTAGTAAACAGAAACTATAATTCAAAAGTAGGCAATCTGATTCTTGACCTCTACTCTTAACCACTATGCTTAGCTGCCTGGTTTTTGAGGACTTAGTAAAATGAAAGATAAACAAAGTTACAATAGACTCAAGTTAGAGAGAACTGACCAAGGAAAGCAGCAAGAAGGCTATGGTTTTAAAAACAGATTTTAAAATTAACAATACAGTAGCCATTAAAAGAAATTCAATGAAAATAAAGCATGGGCTAAACAACTTTACAAACACTATTTATAGACCTTTAATGTTTAAGAAAAACAAAATGACTAGTATATTAGCCATTTTAATGTTTTACGAAGATGAAAGAAAGCTAAAATTCCAGCCTAATTAACACAATGAAGGGATTAAGATATTTACTTTCACCTTTGTGGAAAAACAAAAAAGTTAAAGTAAAAAAAGAGTACATGTACATGCTATGGTAGAGGGAATCCAATGAAGATTATTTTTGCTTCATTTTTTACCTAATGGAGTGATGTCCTGAAGTATAGTCCAGTTTCCCGAATTTCTGTGTTCGGTAGCCATGCCTCTCCATGACATCCATCCATGTTGTGTAATTTGGATCTAGACCCTTAAAATTATTCCAAGATTCTGTTAAGTGAGTGAAGAGTCCACTCCACATTGCTGAGAGAGAGGAAAAAAAAAAAAGGAATTGGGATTAAGGTAACGCTTAACAATTTAACTATTAGGACAATTACTCTGAGAGAGCAGTCCACTAGTGTAGAGCTCACGCTCTGCAATAAAACGTACCCAGATTAGGTGTTTTAGCAAACATTTCTGATTGTTGCCTCATTTTATCAGAGAGATACTCTGTGGGGAGTTACTATTTCCATTTTACAGATGAGTTGACTAATGCTTAGTGGTTAAGTTACTTAAGGTAAATACAGCTGGAATTAAATATGAAGCGTGTGTGACTAGAGGCCTCTTTCAATCACAAAAATAATCCCTAAGTATTTATTGGTTAATTTTCTAAATCAGACAATTGAAGTACAGATCTCATTTCCCCAATATCCTTAAGGATCTTCCCTTATTCCCTGTCTTTTTGCTGGCTTTCCACAAAAAATGTAAGTGTGCTATGCCTTATCTCTCATTTCCTACAACTATGATTGTTTATTCAATCAATACTTATTTTCCTTTTCCCATTTCTGTGTACATAAATAGAAAGTTAGAATAAGCTTTCTGTTTTCATCTAGCAAGATGTTTTCTGAGAGCTGGGATGGGGGATTACCTGGGTTTGAATCCCAATAACACCAGTTACTGAGTAGTCTTTGACCAATTATTTAATCTTGCCTACTCTTCAAAATATACTTCTTCCAGGAAAAGCAACATCTGACATTTTGAGACATCTAGGGTTCATTGGCCACTTTCTCATTCATTATTTAATGTGATGCTCAGAACAACCCTGTGAGGTACACAGTATACACAGCAATTTGCAAATAAGAAGACTGAGTGACTTGCTTGAGGATTCGCATCCAGGTCATTGTCTCACCCTAGCCCACTGCTCATTCTACTTTACAGTTAACAAAACTGTTTTTTAATATGCCTGGTCCTTCATTATTGAAATATCATTTACAATATAGTTTAGTTTTCTTTTAATCACTGGTAATAATAGAGTTGTTAATGTTGAAAATATAGGTGAAAGAGAAGTTATAACTCAAATCACAGAGAAAATCATCTCATTTACAGACAAACCAAATCACTGAGTGCCACTTATGAGTTCCAAGGCAACAATCATAAACCAGAAGACAGGGGAAAAGGAAAACAACTATCAGACAATAGATAGAATTTATAAAAATGGCAGTTTTTTCCTATTTGTTAATTATTCATGGCTTAATGTCACTGACATTCTGCCAATAAAACTATGTCTATTTGTTAAATTATTATAATAAAAGTGAACAATTTGACTTGGGATAAAAGTGAATTGAAACTGAAAGAAAGAGGTAAAGTATGTAATCCGAAATAATAAGAAAAAATTCAGGTAAATCTAAATATAAGTTGTAACTACTTTATGTTATACTCTAATGTTCATAGAAGTCCTCCCAATTACCTATACCATTACTGAAAAATTTCCCTGGAAACAGAACTCTTCTAGGAAATATGCGTATTCCCTCATTTTCTTGAATGGTCAAGAGATTCTTAGTCCCCGGTCACAAGGAAATAAAATGGTAATACATGAACTAGACACCATTCTAAATGATAAAAATTCCTACTCTTGAAAAATACAATTTGAACATGCCCAGTAGCCAATATATACCTTAAAATGCACATCTTTTATATTAAAACAATTTTATTGAAGCCAAATATAACTATTCTACTTTTAGGTATAATCTTTTAAACTGTGAATATAGCTTCAGTGTGTAGCCACTTTCTCCCATTCATATTAAGGATGTTCATACCTGCGCGTGATGGGCAACAAATTGGAGAGTTTGTGTAGGCATTTAGAAAGGAAGTCCCATGTGCCTTCATAAAGTTGATAAAAGGAAGTTTCACTACCTGACTTCCTGGATGAAATGTTAGCCTTCCATCCTGGAAATAAGGAAATTTAATTAGCAATGATTGCATTACCAAAGAAGAAAATTATTTTCTTTAACCATAAAATTTACAATAGCAGAAGACTTCAATATGATTTTAAGAATCCTCCAAAGATAAAAACAAAACAAGTATAGAGAGTGTTCCCAGTATCTGGTACATAAATATCTAGAATTCAATGCAGTGTTATGCTTGGATTCATTTGAATACAGTAAATAAAGGACTTCCTAGAACGTTCTTTTGTGGGATGATGAACTAAGTATTTATTGAATACTTACCTATGTGCCAGGCACTGTGCAAAATCTGAGGATGCAATGGTGAATAAAACAGAGTCTTAGGCCCCATGAAGCTTACAGTCTAGTGGGAGAGGCAAAAAGTATACTGGCAAATAAACCATGAATAATTACAAATTATGATGTATGCTTTGAAAAAAAATCTGAGATACAGAAGGACAAGAGAGACCTATGTTAGATAGTGTGGACAGGGAAGTCTTCTCTGGGATATATGAGACCTAAAGAATGAGTAGGATCCAGCTATTCAAAGAATTTAAGGGACATACAAAGTTTGAGGTATCTGTGAGATGGAAGTGGTGATATCAATTAGGCAGCTGGGGTGGGGTGTGGTGGCTCATGCCTGTAATCCTAGCACTTTGGGAGGCTGAGGTGGGAGGATAGCTTGAGCTCAGAGGTCAAGACCAGCCTGGGCAACATAGGGAGACCTTGTTTCTACAAAAAAAAAATTAGGCAGCTTGATAAATGAGTCTGAAGATTAGGAGATGTTTGGGCTGGAGATATGCATTTTGGAGATGAACTGGGAATTGAAGAACTCACCTTGGTAAAGAGCAAGAACAGAAAAAAGAATATTCCAGTCCTGGAGTTCTATTGTATGTTTTCAACATAAGTCTAAATAAATTCCAGTTTAAAACATGAGCCAACCCAAAATACAGAATATATCTAAACCCTTGGGATAGCTGAGATTCCTAAATAGAGACATAAAGTAGGCTGTTGGATACAGACAGGAATCTGGAGTTGAGAGAAGTCTATCTTGGTGAAATAAAACTTGGGAGTATTTAACATATTCATGGTTTTGAAAACTGTGAGACTAAATAAAACCTTTTAGGGAGAGAGGGAAAGGAGGGGAAAGAAAAGGGTCTAGAAGAAGTTGTAAGGAGTCCCAAATAAGAGGGGAAAGCAGCATGGGAAACTGAGAAAGAATGGCCAAGGGAGGAAGATGTGAGGAGACCGAGTGCCATGACAGCTGAGAGAAGACAGTGTGCCAAGAAAGAGGTAACATCTGAAATGAGGCCAGAAAATGCACATTGGAATTGGCAGTATGGAGACAGCTGGTGACCTTGACAAGAGCACTTTCACTGGGCGGTAAAGATGAACAGCTAAACTGGAAAGGGGAAGGAATGGGAGGCAGGAAAGTGAGGCAGCAGGGGGAAAAAAGAAAAGCTCTTCTAAGAAGTTATTTTGCAAAGCGAAACAGAAAAACAGGATCGATGTTAGAGAATGGTGTGTTAGCTGGAAGAAAATGTGGGATTAAAGTCAGTTCTTTTTTTTAAGATGGAGAAAATTATGCATGTCTTATGTCAAAATAAATTACCACTTCTAGCAAGAGTAATCACTGAATGCTAAGCAAGTAACTATGGATTTCCTCAATGATGAGCTAGAAAGCCAAAGACAAAAGTACATAGAGGCCAGGCACAGTGGCTCATGACTGTAATCCCAGCGCTTTGGGAGGCCGAGGCAGGCAGATCACTTGAGGTCAGGAGTTCAAGGCCAGTCAGGCCAACATGGTGAAACCCTGTCTCTAAGAAAAATACAAAAATTAGCTAGGCGTGGTGGCGGGTGCCTGTGATCCCAGCTACTCGGGAGGCTGAGGCAAGAGAATCACTTGAATGTGGGAAGCAGAGGTTGCAGTGAGCTGAGATGGCACCACTGCACTCCAGCATGAGTGACAGAGCGAGACTCCAACTCAAAATAAAAAAAAAGGTGCATAGCCCTCCCTCATGAGAATTTCTTTAAGCCCTTAAATTCAAATTCTCAGAAATTTATCCTTACAAATTCCAAATGTCTATATGTCTTATGCTTACAATCTTTTGGACATGGGGAGATAACAACTTGTGTCCACTGCCTAGAATCCAGACAACCCAGGCTTACCTGGTTGGGGGATGGAGCAGGAGGTCACAAGGTAGAAGAACTGTCTTAAAGGTGCCATATAATTTAAATATGGGGATTTGGACTCCAAGTCCTGCAGGCTAGGTTCAAATTGGTGTAACGACCACTGCAAATGACTACCGCAGCATATCAATAACTAATGTGTCAGATTAAAATCCATGTTAGTGATTTCCTGATTCATTTCTATGACTAGTACAGGGACATCATCTGTATCAAAAGCAGGCTGGAAAGCAGGACTCTTTGAAATATAATGGCAGAGGTAACCAGAAAGGGAGGGGGTGACTGCCCTCATGTGGGAAAGTTACCAACAATTCCATCAGTGAAAGGTGATCTACGTTAAGACTACTGTCTGAGATGTATATAAGGCAGCGAGCGGGATGCAAATATTTAGTGAATGAAATGAAATGAATCTCTAATCTAGAGATTTGTTCAATTTAAAAAGGAAGACAAATTTATGCTCAAAATTCAACAGTATATTTTTGCAAAGCTTAATAAATTGGATTAAGCATATCAATAGCAAAATTTGGTTCCTAGGAAATATTTAAATTATGATCTACATATTCGGAATGTGAAAAATATCAGGAATACTCTAAACGAAGACCAAAATGTTAATAGAGAAAATATTTAAACATTTTCTAGAAGTTTTGGTTTTTGACTTCACGTAGTTTTTACACACTAATGAATCATTTAAAAACTAGGCTACTACTAGTACTGCTGATAATGGTATCAATGGGAGACGGTCCATAGAATATTTCATTCTGAACTGAAAGGCATCTTAATACAGCTGGTTGATGAAAAACAGAGAAAGTAAGTTTTCCATATTATGTTAATGTGGTTTACAATGGACAGCCGAGTGAAAACACAGTTCTGTCAAATTTAGTTGGGAGAGAAAATCTTGCAGAATTGCTTTTGGGATAACTTCTATAATTTACTAATAGCCCGTTTCAATTTTCTCAAAGCCATTCCTATGGTTCAAACAAATTAAGCACTCTAAAATTGGGCATTTAAAAAATAAAAATGACCCATTAATTGGCTTTCTGCAAAAGTGACAGAAATGGTACCAACTGCCTTTAGTTGCTGCATTCTGCTCTTGTTAATTAATTCTCAGGGCTCCGCACATTTTTCCCCCGTGGGGTGGGTGAGCCTTTTGGTAGATACGATTTTGTGATTTTGATGGCTCCTTCTGAACCATGGCTTGTACTTGGTTCCTTATCGTTATGGGCCATGCAGAATCAGAGAAGTTTAGATTTGAAGGTATCATCCTAATGAAAGGATGTAACAGCAACTTTCATTTGTCATGTTAGCATGGCAAGACTGCTTATAGTGTTCTTCCCAGATCTGTTCATCAGACTGAATGAGATTCTCACTAGACTCTGTAGTGAATATTTCTGTACCTATTCTCTCCCACCACTCCCGAAACCTCACCAAAACTAAAACTGCTACAGGTGCAGTGGCAGGGAGTAGAGGTAGGAGTAGGAGTGGGGATGCAGAAGATGCCTATGTCCTTTAGGACCCAGGCAGAGATGCTTGTTTTCTATTATTTATTTATTTAAGTTTTAAAATTTTATTTATTTATTTTTTTGAGTCAGAGACTCACCCTGTCGCCAAGGCTAGAGTCCAATGGCACAATCTTGGCTAACTGCAACCTCCGATACCTGGGTTGAAGCGATTTTCCTGCCTCAGCCTCCTGAGTAGCTGGGATTACAGGTGCCCACCACCATGCCTGGCTAATTTTTGTATTCTTAGTAGAGATGGGGTTTCACCATGTTGCCAGGCTGGTCTCGAACTTCTGACCTCAGGTGATCTGCTCATCTTGGCTTCCCAAAGTGCTGGTATTACAGGTGTGAGCCACCGTACCTGGCATATTTTCTATTTTTTAAAAAATGGGATTATTAAGGTATAATTCACACATTAAACAACCCATCCATTTAAAGTGTACAATTCAATGATTTTTAGTATATTCAGAAAGCTGTGCAACCATTACCATAGTCAATTTTTAGAATGTTCTCATCATCCCCAAAAGACACTCTGCACTCTTTAGCCATTACTCTCTATTTGCCTGAAGCCTAGACAACCACTAATCTACTTTCTGGCTCTACATATTTGCTTTCTCTGGACATGTCATATGAATGGAATCACACAATATGTGGTCCTTTGTGACTAGCTTCTTTCACTTAGCATAATCTTTTCAGGTTTCATCTACATTGTAGCACGTACCATATTTTTTTTATCATTGAATAATATTACCAAATTTTATTTATCCATTTATCAATTGATGGGCATTTGGGTTGTTTATACTTTTTGGCCATTATGTATACTGAACATTTATAATGCTATGAACATTCATGTACAAGTTTTTGTGTAGACTCATATTTTCATTTCCCTTGGATATATACCTAGGAGTAAAACTGCTGGATTATACGGCAACTCTACGGTTAACCATTTGAGAAACTGCCAAACTGTTTTCCAATGGTTGCATGATCTTACCAGCAGTGTATGGGTTGTAATTCCTCCACATTGTTGCCAACTCTAGTTATTGTCTTTTCCATTATAACCATCCCAGTGGGTGCAACTGGTGTCTCACTGTGGTTTTGATTTACATTTCCCTAATGATTAACGATGTGGAGTATCTTTTCATGTACTTATTGGTCATCTGCATATCTTCTATGAAGAAATGTCTATTAAGATCTTTTGGCCAGGTATGGTGGCTCATGCCTGTAATGCCAGCACTTTGGGAGGCCTAGGTGGATGGATCTTGAGGTCAGGAGATTGAGAACATCCTGGCTAACATGGTGAAACCCTGTCTCTACTAAAAAT